GGCAGGGTTATGACTTCTGTAGTAGAGAAGGGGATAAAAATTGAATACTTCAAGGTCAGCCCAAACAGTTTTGTCTGAAGGGCCGAGCACTGGTGCTTCCTGTTAGTATGCATGTGTCTTTAATTCTTCCAAACCAGAAGTTGGTTTCCTCTTCCCTGGGCAGGTGAGCTCTTGCTCCTCCGTTCTGCATCTACCTCTGCTTGCCCCTGTTACTGTCCGTCTCTCATGTTCCTTCACTGACCTAACCCAGCTCACTAAACCAGCAGCAAACCCTCTCCACTTTGGGTTTTGCTGTTGCTGTGTTAGCAGTGTGAAGGCACACAGAAGGCCTGCCAGGCTGAGCAGTGTGGGAAAGCTGAGAGAGGGGTCAGCAAACTTCTTTTTTGCCTTTGTAACAGTGAACTGTTAAATGCCAAACTTCAGAATGTAGTTTTAATGAAAGGAAGTACTGTGGAAACATCTTTGGAGAAGGCTGTGTGATCCTGGGACAAAAATTAATTTCAAATAACTGTAAATACCTTCAACAGGTTAAATGATACTTCCATGTGGAGATGCTATGAATTAACAATGTCATTAGAGAAAAGCTGCACTCATCCATTCCATCTGTACTGGAAAAGTTACCGTTCACTTGCATTATTCAGTCTTTCCAGACATTGAGGTCCAAACTGTGGAAGGATATATTCGATAATGCTTATTCTGTTGGTAACAAGTCAGAGCTAAGATAAAATTATATGTGTATCTTTAATTTGATGTTTTGATGAGATGGTATTTTCATTTAGTAGTAGTCTGATAAATGTTTCTGCTGAAAGTACGTTACAGAAAATGAACTTGCAAGCGCTGATCTTCAGAGTGATCCAATGTGTACATGAGCTAAAAAACCGAAGGGTTGGAACCAAACTGTATTTGTGAGATCATGCTATGTAATTATTTTGTAGATTGAATCTTTGTGGCAAAAATAGAAGTAATCAAAATGTGCTTTTTTTCCCTCCATCTCAACTTCTCCCACAAGAGGACAATCTACAGAAAGTGCTGTAGAATTCCAGAAATCTTGCACTGTATTTGTCTTCTTATCTTGTACCATGTAGCTATTGGACTTAAGAAATTATTACATATTTTTTTAGATAAGAAACAAAAGCACAAGATGAGATCCCTGGCGATGATAAAGCTTTCTGATTAATCATGACGTATGTACTCTAGGTATTTTGAATTGGTATTTAGCTACATCATAAATCAGGGCTCTTCAAGTTGTAGGATGAATAATGTTACAGCTGCTTACCCAATGGCTGCATGGCAATCGCACCTTATTTTCCTTAGAGTAAGAAAGGCTTCAGGAGCTGCCTGAATCTGGTCTCTTGAGCTGCCCCATTTATGAACCACATTTGAAGTTTCCTTTGTCATTTTTGAAGTTGGCCCTACATTTTTTAGCATATTCTTCCTCAGACAGTTTCCTTTGCTAAATCCTGGTTTCACAGAATGTGGCATTGCATTTACCAGCTCTGCAACTATCTGAAAGTACAGGTGTTTGGGACATCTGAACTTGTGTCTATAAATCTTTAAAAAAGTCTGAGTCTATAAATGGGAGACGTGGGTTCTGCCTGCCCTCAGGGCTCCCTTAGCTTTCACTTACCAGCAATATTATTTTCAGTCCTTGTTAGGAGTAATTTCTGCCCTTTTTTTTCTTTTTTCACACAGTAAAGGTTGTAAAAGGTCAGACAGTTGATATCATTACCTTCCCTAGAATGGTGGGTTTCCAAGTGACTTTCTGGGTGGCTGTTTATCTTGGTGAGCTGTTGCTATTTTTAAATGTTTTTTATTTTTTTTGAGCTGTGGCTGATCAGAGCAGGTCTTACAGAAGTGGAGCATGCAGTGAGTTGTCTGTGAAGGGCCAACTGTTTGTTCGTTTTCTGGCAGTAGGGAAGATGGCTGTTTGTGTGTCCTTTGAGACAGACGTGATTGAAAACTGTCACGTTTGTTAAATATTGTGGGAATTAATGTCCCTCTGTTACTCCTTTTCTGGATCCAAAAGTGGATATTTCAGAAGTCTTATTATGCTTTGTATGCATCTTAATGATGTGAAGAGGGTGCAACTGCGAGACGTCACTTTGTGGGAGCTAGGTCTCTTCATCTCAGCAGGCTGTTGCTGAAATTTTTATTCTTATCAGCGTAAAACCTGAGCGTTCCTTTCAAAGGTTTTCCTGCAGTGCAGTGTTCTCCACTCCTTTGATGTTATTTGCATCTGGAGCCAATTCACATTCAGAAGTAGGACTTCTGAACTTTTCTTGGGAAGAAAAAAGTAAAAGGAAAAAGAAAAGAGAGATCGTTAGAGGAGGTATAACCTAAAAGGAGGAAGGAATGTAGCGTTGAGGCCAGCAGACCTCCTGTGGATGAGATCTTGGTGTGCAAAAGGCCTTTGGGTGGGGTACCCTTTCGGTGTCCTTGAGTGCTGAGCTGTGCCCTTGGTGAGCTGTCCCGGCAAACTTTGTGTTTTGGGTCTGGGAGAGAAATTGGACGTGGTTGCTGATGCTTCACTTTACAAACCTTAAAGCAGATTCTTTCCAGGCTCTTAGTTGTATATGCCCCCTCCTTTCCTCCCATTCTTGTATCCATTTTCCTTCTTCTTGACACATCCTTTTCTGTTGAGACTTCTACCAAAGTGATTTCAGAATGTAATCTGAAGTCCTTTTGACTTTTCCCCTGGTCAGAATTCTATGTTTCATTGCCTTTCAGTCAAAATTAACGCTGGAAGTAAAAGAAGACTAGAAAGTCAACAGAAGAGATTGTAAACCTTGTTCATTTAAATGTTTCCTATTGTTTACTCATGTTGCTGTGAAGTTTCATCCTAAAGCATATTAAAGTAATTGTCCCTTGGCTCCAAAATTATAAATACAAAAAATTCTTGAGAGTGATTTGAATTTCCTAGTTAAGTGATGAAAGCTAAAGAAACTCAGGCAGTGCCTTCGATTTCCATTTCATAACTTCCTTCTTGAGGCTTGTTTGGGATTCAGTGAAATTGTTGCCCAAGTTTATCTAAACATGTATGTACACTGATGATACAGTAACTAGCACCGGTGAGAGGCTTTTGGATCAACAGATTTGATCGGTAACATGACAGTCTTGGTGGAGATGCTTCTGTTTTCTCTTGATCCCTGCTTGTTTCCTGGCAGTATGGGTAGCACTTTTGGGACTGTTACATTTAAGAAATTGCTGAAATTGCAGTGCAGTGCATTTGAATCCCTTCTCTCCATATTGTTTTTTCTTTCAAATGTGTATTTTTCAGGTCTAAAAAGACCCAAATAAGCAATCACCTTCCTCCAAAAAAATCCCCAAACCCCACAAAACAAGACTCCCCGATCTTAAACTCCCTCAACAAGCCTGTATTAGGTTTTCAACAATAGAAGTCCTACCTTATGGTGTACATTACTGTAATGATGACACCTGCACACTTTGCTATGAAATGGAAAACTCCGTATTTCTAGCCAAGCAGCACACGGGGAAAAAAGAACAAACACAAGTTCACTTCAGTGTATGAAAAAAACAAAGCTAGAAATCCCTATCAACCTTTTCAAGAGTTCTCCTGGACCTTCCTTTGAGTTTTAAGAAGTGTACAAGAATCAAAAGGACTTAATGTATTATATTCTAGCAAGTATATTTTTGCATGATGTTTTGGTGAAGATAGCTTTGGTACTCTATTTATGAATTTCCTTGGGTAAACTGTATTTCCTTCCTGGCAAAATTAGGTTATAAGTTTAGTTAAAAGGATTTGGGGCTGATTAGAGACCAGGTAATCTCTAAGTGAGTCAGCTGGTATTTATAGTTCATAATGGTAGAGGGAAATCTATTTTGCTTTCAGCTTTGCCTCTAGTTTGTCAGTTAATGGATTCTACTTTATTAGAGAATTTGAGAAGCCATTCTCTAACTCTCTCAGGCTGGTTTAATGAAATACTTTTCTGATATTTCTTCTGTTGTGACTGAACTAGAAAGCTGACACGTGGTGATACCTGAGTAGAGTATGCACGTATTACATCTTGTCCTGGTGCTTGGTGAGAGTGGTTGTGCAGTCACTGTTGAACAAATGATGTTTTCTTTTGAGTGTCTGGATAATAATTTTGACTGTCTTAAATAAACCAGGAAAAAGGAAAAAGTCATCCTCTAGACTTGTTTTGATTACATTGGTAAAAATATTGAACTCCTGTGTTCTAAGTAAAACTGTTAGTTTTGTCAGACTCTGTATTTTATTTAATTTGTCTAAATTATTTAAACAAATACAATTTGGGTCTGATTGTATAATCCTCTGAGAATTGTTTTCTACCAGTATGGAAGACTTCTATTCTAAAGGCTCTGGATTAAGATAGTATTTTTGCTCTGTTAGCACAATTTCATTCACACTGCCAATGCTTCGTGTTGTGTTTAAAAAAAAATAAATCTCGGCCTCATTAGAAAGCACACTTGATTTGTATAGCTTTTGAGATTTTGTTCAGTTTAACATGGAACATACTTGCTTAGTATGTAAACTGTATGCACCTTTTTGGGAATGAAATCTAATTAAAATTTGACATTTTTATGCGTGGAGATATTAGGAGGGGAACCAAAGCTGAAACCTTGTGTTAATTTACAGTGATATCCTAAGAAAAAATACTGTGCAGGTGCAGAAATGCGGGAAGATAGAGATCTTCAGTGAGAAATGCAGGAAGACCTCTGAAGCAGAGGTTATTTGATTGTTGGGAAGATGGATGATATTAACAGTGGATTCATAAATACTGGCTATAATTGCAGAATTTCAGTTTGTGTATTTTGAAAGCAAATACAAATACTTTTGCTTTTCTAAAATTATATTATAAAAATTTCAAAGCCTTAATGTTGTCTCCATTAAAATAGCACAGGACATTTTTGGGAATGAAAAATGTTTTGTTTTAAATTTTGATAACACTTGATGCCATGTAAAATGGGTTATGTTAAAGATGAAGCTGAACTTAGCTTATATTCTCTTTTATGACTTCTAGAAATATAAAGAGAAAGATAAACACAAGCAAAAATATAAGAAGCAGTCGGAGTCTTCACCATCCTTGGTTCCATCTCTTACTGTAACTACAGAGAAAGTAAGTCAATGTGTTTTTCCTCTTCTTCCACTTGAACGACTTATGTTGAAATGTAGTGATGTAATCATTCCAGTGTATATACGGGAGTTTTATAATGGCATAGATTCTATAATTATCAAGTGTGCTTGGTGTAACATAAAATCCTAAAATACTTTGAGGTTTATAACATGAAGAAAGGCTTAAATTTTTGTAATTATATAGTGAGTGATTTAGTGACCCCAATTAGGTGCCACTGATACTCCAGTTTGAGTTTTAGTTCATTGACTTATGTTTAATAATTTTAAGTTTTAGAAAATTTTTCCTTTGAAATTCACTTATGTGTGCTGAGCTGTCACTGAACCTGTAGGCATTTAAGCTGGTAATTATGAAATTACAGCTCATGCTTCATATGCTTGTAATGTCACGTTGCCTTTTCAGCAGTCTGGTCCATCAGGTTCTGTGGTGTTTCCTTCCTGTTAACATACTAGCAAATCCGTAACTTGAGGAACAACTCAAGGTTGACAGTTCTCATTGTACTCTAGAAGAAGCTACAGGACTTAGAGCTTTCGCTATCCACCAAAAAAATGACACTGATGATGGTATTACAGAGTGGACAGCAGTATTGAGAAATGAGTGTTCCGACTTCAAAGTTGAAAAACATTCGTCCCATTCACGTGGGCCAGTTTGACATCTGAATCAGGGAATCACAGTTTCAGTTCATTAACCATCAGTACATAGAGCACTGGTTTTTAGCAGAGATGCTGAAGCTTGTGTTAACTGTCCGTAGTTTGGTTATGAGATACAATATTCAATGACTGTATCTGTTTGCATATGGAACACCAAGACCTTGTCATGGCAGGGTAAAACAACTGAGATACCAACTTCCTCTTGTCCCTTGTATCAACTTTAAGACTAATTACCAAGAAAGTTATTTTTTTTAGTATGCTGTGGATATTTCTTTATTTGTATTTATTCTCAGTAGTGGGATTATTAGCTTGAAGATGTGTACCTGTTCATCTCCCATTATTTGTGCCTCATGCTTCTGATAAATTAGTCTTATTTCTGCTTCCACTGTATTCTTTGTAACACTGTTGTGTTAAGTGAGACTTACTAGTCAGTGGTTTTCTGAAACTCCCATTAATTCTTTATTTAAAAATAAAAAAGGAAAAAAGAAAAGGTAAATTTGTCACTTTGCTGTTCTGATTTAAGAGCGATTAGACATTGCAATCAGTGAGTGTGACAGTTTTTATTGAAATTAAGTTGTAGAACTCTTTGAATAGTACTGGCTGGTCTGTGTGATTTGTTATTTAATTTTATTAATTTGTCCTGAACATATTCCTCTTGAGTCTGACATAACTCCTAAAATTCATAGCCTGCAAGCAAGGCTTCTTGCGTGGGAACTTCTTTTAAACTACAATTTTTGTTTAGGTTTTGTACTATCTGTGATCTTATCTTTCTTGAATTTTATCCCTTTTGTTCTTTGATTATCTAGTCATCATCATAAGTTTTAACAAAAAGCGATACTGCTGTATATTTGTGTAACAGTTAGGGAAAATATATTGAAGTAGTGATTATTTTTGAGTCCTACCTATTAGAATATGCTTTTGGTGCTGAAGACACAGTTGGGTTCTGTTTTTCTGCTAACCTCTAATTGCTTTGTTCTCCCCAGTCATTTCCTAATTACAAGGTTTATGACTCAGTGGTGTACATTTTAGTAAGGTGAACAAGAGTAAAATCTCATTTTTAGCAGACCCCTATTTAATCCAAGGAAAGAATGAAAATTGTGCTGAGTTGTTGGCCATGCTGTTGAGATCGTACTATATGTGTATGTATAGCAAGTCAAATATATTTTTATAGTTAAGTCTATAGGGTTTATAATAAGAACGTTTTAAATATTTTTACATTCTTTTGAATACCTAATCCTCACCTCTTTATAGTCTTAAAAATCATTACACAGGTAACACTACAAAACAAAAGTTGCAACTGCTCTGGTTAGTAGCAAGGTAGAGGTAGAGCAAATATTAGAGAGAACAGAAACTTTCAAAAATTCTAGAACTTAAATGACGACTGAATTAAACTAAAACAGAAGTATTAATTGTGAAATTTAAATATCGACATGTGTCCTTTTAGTTTTATTTTTTTGAACCTTTTGCATCCTGTGGGGTTTTTTCTACTTAAGTGATCTGCTTTGTTTTCAGCGTTTTCTGGAGAATGCTTCAGCTCATCAGGAAAATTGGTGTTCAGTTTTTTTTAATGAAGTACTAAGTGTGATTATGGTTTTTTTTAAAAGTGTCTGCTGAATATTTGGAAGTGACTTTTTGTGGCTAGTTCCTTCAGTTATCTTATTTTTTTTTCTGAAGTACTTTTGACACCATTTACATGCATTTTCTTTTCTAAATTATCAATTCATAGTGTGTTCCTCAGAATGAAATTGAAGTTATAATAATTAAACAAGCTTTGTTTTCTTCTGAGATAAAGATTGATTCGGAATATTGTATTAGTATGTTACTTTTTTGTGTCCTTTTACATAGAGTTGTCAGAATTGATTTGGACTTGATGTCTTTTTCACAGCAGTTTGTCTTTGGAGTGAATACATTATTTTATCATGGTATATAATCACTTTTGCTAACACATTGTTCCTGTGGGGGGAACTGGAATTTGAAATGAATTTTGGTTTTCCTTTTTAAAGGAGTTAAATCTGTGTGATACAATGGTAATGATCATTTATGCAGGTGATGCCTTAAAGCATGTTTTTTATCTGGATGAGTGGCTTCTTAAGACAGATTTATGACAGGCTGCAGAACAAGCTGTGGATTTACATTATGTGAGTTAGTATCCTTGGCTTGCATGTTTGTTCTGCAGAATTTAATTCCATGAAATTTTGCTGAGGATCTAGTCCAAATGCTGTCTTGAGATACAAAGATGCCGATTGAGAGGCATTTTTGTGCATCGATGTAATGCCTTAGCAAACACTTAGTCTGGATCAATTAAGTTTGAAAGTTTGTAATAAGAAGTTCTTAAATACTATTTGATTAATGTACTAATGAATTTTTCAATTTTCTTATGGGGCACAGATAAAAAATGTTTTAAGAAGGACTAGAAAAAATCGGGAACTTGAAGTCTCTCTCTGCCTCTTCAGATGAGATTTTCTTCTGGCCCTCCTCTTAGCTGGGAAGAGCCATCAGTCCTGAGCTTCTATGTCAGCTTATGAGCTTTGACTCATCACTTTTGTATCAAGAGTTTTAAATGCGTATGTTTTAACAGATAATACAGTTGTCCTTTGGTGTGGTTTTTTTTTTTTCTGATGGGAGAGTGTCATGGTGGTTGTGCTGTTATTAATTTCAATAAAAACTCCAAAACATTGATGTACACCAAGATACACAAGACAGTGTATCTGCATTCAAATTGTAGCCAGTAACTAAATAAAAGATACTGCAAACAGAAAAGTGCAGCTGATTGGATTTTATCTGCGATAGTAGAGGAGGTGGTGGTGGTGATGACCTTCCTCAGTTCACCCTGACTCTCAGCCCAGCCTGGTTCTCAAGGGAGGTGCTCAGATCCTACTGCACTGGGGTACAGAAGAGGATGAAGAGAGTAGGGAAATCTCTGTTTGGTATGACTGAACACCACTTTCCTACACCAGTGTGGTGCTTGTGGCTTATGGGGTATACATGTATATGTGTGTGTTGGGTTTTTTGGTTTAGTTGGTTGTTTTTTTGCTTGGACCATGCTCTTTACCATCTGGCATTTTTGTGGAGGGTTACCTGCTGTGGTCCTTCCCTTCTTTGTGCAAGAGTACTGCCCTGTACATCTGTATTAGGGCTAAAGGCTTCTCAAGCCTTGGGACATATTGAGTAGAGCAAGAATGATTATTACACTGTTGTCGTAAATCTAAAGCTTTCCCAGAAGTTTTAAGACTCGCTACAGATGGGTGATATAACTCTTCAGGGTGCACAGAGTGATATATGGTGGGCATAAAAATGCCAGTAGCTCTCTGTGCACCAAGTTGGCAATGTGAAAGAGCGCTTTTTGGGGAAAAACCCTGCAAACTGGTTTATGGGAAGCATAAAGGAACCCTGACACACATGGAATTAGCTTGATAATTGCACTAGCAAGTACTGAATGATTTTTGAGAACAGGATTAACATTCATGAAATAGTAAAGTCCTTCCAAATAAAGTTTTTTCTCTGAGACTTTTCTGTTAGGCTTTTGTCTTTTAGAACTTTGCATTTTAGAAAAACATTTTGTTTAGTGGTGGGTAGGATATTGTATGAATCAATGGGCTTAATAATTTAGAGTTTGTGCTGTGGGTTTACCTTAGATCCTATTGCGTATCTTGTGGGTTCTCTAAGTGGTTGATGCATGTGTATCTGATTTCAGGCACTTCATTGTGAATAAGTCCTTAAAGTAAGGAATAATATCTATGAAGAAAAATACTGACCAAATGATACCAATTTTAGTTTGGTTAGGGTACATTGAATTGTGTTAGTGTTTAAGATACTCCAAGTAAGTATGTAGATTTCAATGCAATTTACAGCACCTTCTGAAACAAGTATCTGTTGGAGCAAAATTTTCAAAAGCAGAACTGCCATGTGCATGCATGCTCTGCAAAATCTGCGAAGAACAGGAATCAGGCTTGCAGACAAACCCAGTCTTTGCACAGCATGTGCAAGTTGATGCCTGCTTGTCATTGCCTAGCTCTGACCAGTCTGGAGAGCTACATTAAACTCTTCATTTCTCTTTAAAATAAGCAGATAAACAAATTAAATCCTGTGGGAATGGAGAAGAAGTACTAGATAACATCAAAAGATGATTGTTGATATGTACAGGGAATTATCTTTGCAATTTATATTCAATCGAGTGGACAGGAGATAGGACAGGAAGGAATTTGATAAGAGGAAAAATCCTGGATCCTAGAGGAAGTCGACTGTTGGTTTGGCTTATTGCATGTCTGGTAACCCTTTGTTCAAATGACCCAAGTCTGAACCACTGCTTCTTGACTCAGGTCAAGTGACACATCAATTTCAGGAAAATTGAGCATACTTGTGGACTTCGTAATAGTTCAAAAAGTTAACTACTAAACTTACCTTAGAATTGGCTCCATCTTCTTTAGAAACAGTTACCAGCATACTAATGTGAATTTGGGGTAAATTATTTTTAACATTGTACTCTAACAGACTTTAACTGATTTTTCTTTGCAGTTACTCAGAAAATCCATGATATGTTTTTATTGCAGTTCGTAATTCATACAGGGCAGTATGCAAATAGATTGAAATTTTCATCTTCCTCAAAGCTTGCATATTTAGTTGTCTTCTGGCATTTGCAACTGAAAACTAAGTTCTGTGTAAATGTTGTAGCTGTGCTAGTAAAAATATGGAACACTTTTATACCTGCTACACAAAGCTTTATGTAAACAGGAGGAAATACTCTGCTGTAGTCCTAAATTCAGCAAGGAATTCTCTTCAGTCAGGGAAGAGAAAATTTGTCAATTTTAAGAGGCATGTTTTTTTGTGGTCTTTAATGGAGATCAACTTAGAAACTATTTTAGACTCTCTTCTATAAAGAACTAAGAAACAAACTAAGCATGTTTGGAACAGATGAGTACCTTCTAGGTTTGAGCCATGTTCTGTTGCCAGTTACCTTAGAATTTGAACACTTGTAAGTTTATTTGAAAGAATGAGTTCTTTTAAACAGTTCGTTAAGTTTTTCGTGTGACCTAACTGTTTCTTTTATTTCTTTTATAAAAATGATAGACGTACACAAGCACTAGCAACAACTCCATGTCAGGTTCCTTGAAGCGGTTGGAAGATACTACGGCTCGATTTACAAATGCAAATTTCCAGGAAGTTTCTACACACGTTCCAAGTGGAAAAGATTCTTCAGAGGCCAGAGGGTTAGAGGGCAAAGGGAAGAAGTCTGCAGGTCACAGCTCAGGTCAGCGGGGAAGAAAGCCTGGTGCTGGAAGAAATCCAGGAACAGCTGTGACTGCCGCTAGCCCTTTTCAGCAAGGTATTCATTGTTAGGCTGGAACACAACTTCTGCTTTGACAGGAATTTAGAAATCTTACATATTTAAAGCTTGAAAGGGAGTTCATTCTTTATCCTCAAATAATGAGTTGTTTCACTTTGGGGGAAAAAAAGCTTTTTTCAGAGAAAAAGTGTTTATTATCATAACATGAAAAAGAGAGTCGTGCACTTGCCTGGACGTGTTCCTGGGTGATCTCTGATCTGATCTCAGATCCTGCTCTGGCAGGGGCTTGGACTGGATGATCTGCAGAGGTCCCTTCCAACCCCCACCATTCTTTGATTCTGTGATTTTTAAAGGGCAAAACTGATACTTTGTTTAGACTGTTAAGGTATTGTCCTTAACTGCTGAAACCTGAAGTTTCTTCATGTGCTGAAACGTTAGTCCTGGATAAAATTTAACATATTTATTTGAGTCTAGGTGTCTTTCTTAGCTCTTTAAGGGAATAATACAAGTGGGTTTTTAGTAAAGGTATAGTAGAGTGAAACTGGATTACCTAATATATAGGATGTGGTAGCCCATAAATACTTTTCAAGATGCAGACATTTTAAATACACCATTTTTTTCAAGGTGAAAGACCTTTTAACTTTTTTTTTCTTTTTTTGTCATAGAAATACATAAGCAGAAGATGATTATGGAACAAGTATATACAGTTTATTTACCTTCTGTAATAAAAATGTGATGTTTTGAACTCGCTAAAACCTACTAACTGAACTGGAGACACTTCTAAATAGCAAATTCTATTATGGCATCTTTGTCAGAGTTGAAGAAAGATTTAAGAAAAAAGTTTAAAAGTCTGTGGTTTTTATTACTTAACTAATAAAAGATGTTATTTTGGAACATAGCAAACTAGGTCTTCTGTAAAGTAACTATTTTCATAATTTTCACTGTGGTGTGTAGTAGCTGACTGTCCTTTCTGCTCTATGATGTTGCTCTTTGAGTTTATGTATGCAGTCGGCACTTAAATTTGTCTAGAACTCTTTTCAATATTTCACTCACTTTTACTAGAAAAAAAATGAAAACCGAAGTTTTGGGTTTTTTTTGTTTGTTTGTTTGTTTAAATTCTCAAAACTTTGAAAAATGCCCTCTGGAATCCTGCATTTAAGGAAAAATCTTGCTCCCTGCAGATGGCAAAATGGTTCTTTACTATGTGCATGTATTTTCTTTAGAGCTGCATTTAATGAAGTTGATTTAAAATAGAAAACAACATTTTAAAAATTATTTTAAATTGCTATATTAATGTAAATTATATTCTTAATAATGTTTAATGGAGTACTAATGATAAAACAGTAATTTTAAAAGGACTTTTTAAATACCTAATGTTGTATTTAGGAGTATTTTCTTGGTGAGATAGTCATCATTAGTCTGAGTTCTACAAAACAGTACCCATATGCACCCAGCTATATGAAATTACTGAATTTCAGTTGAAGTAGATGTTTGTGTTTCCTAGGTGTCCTTCATTTTCTGCCTTGCACGTGCTAACACAGTGATGTAATGACTGCATTCTAAATATTGGAGAAGCAACATAATTCTTTTACACTCTGACAGTGCTAAAGAAGTCTTAAAATGCCAATTTTGTATACTTTTCTCCACTTCTTCTTGTGTCCTTTTGAAAAACACCACTCCTGTGGAACACCTCCTCAGCCAGAGTAAATGAAGTGCAATTACTGTTCCCATGACCTGTAGCAGACCCTTGATTTAGGTAGAATGGCAAGGAAGATTGCAGGCATGGTGAAGATGTGATCATAGCACGTTTCTATCAGCCGCCTTCTTTTGTATATGAGTACATTTAAAAAAACCTGCTCTGACTTGCACCAAGCGTTTGTTGTGGCTTCAAAACATTAGGGATGTCAAAGTTGCCTAAGCAGCAAAGTTGTTGTGCACATCTGATTCATTTTCACCTTGTTTTTCCCCCAAATTCAAATCTGAATCTTGGGTAGGAATCTGAGAGGCACATCCAGAAGAGTGAAGATCTACAGGAGAAGCAATGAGTTATCTTAAAAATAATTCTTTAGCTCTTGTTAACACTGTTCATAAAGTCCTTGCACTTTAAAGTTGTTTATTCCAAGATGTTAAACTTTCCCATCGATTTTCATCAACTACAGGGGAAAAAAATTGTATTTTTACTTGTTTTTCTTTTTTAGGAAGCTTTTTGGGCACTCCTGGGAGCATAAAGTCATCTTCTGGAAGTTCAGTTCAGTCTCCCCAGGACTTTCTGAGTTTTGCAGACACAGATCTGCGAAGTGACAGTTTCACACATTCTCAGCAGGCTTCTTCAACCAAAGATGTACATAAAGGAGAGACTGGGAGTCAAGAAGGGGGTGTCAATTGCTTCACTTCCTTAATTGGTCTCCCGTCATCAGCAGCTGTTTCCCAATCTAAAAACTTTGACAGCTCACCTGGAGACATAGGTAATTCAAGCCTTACTTCTACAGCCTACAAACGAGCTCAGACTTCTGGAATAGAAGAAGAAACTGTAACAGAGAAGAAACGGAAAGGAAATAAGCAAAGTAAACACGGGCCTGGTAGACCCAAAGGGAATAAAACTCAAGAAAGTATTTCCCATCTTTCAGTTTCTTCTGCTTCCCCAACTTCATCTGTGGCATCTGCTGCAGGAAGTGTTACAAGCTCTGGTCTTCAAAAATCTCCAACTTTGCTCAGGAATGGAAGTTTACAAAGTCTTAGTGTTGGCTCATCTCCAGTGGGTTCAGGTAGGCATTTATTGGATTTATTTTCTTACCTCAAAATACATCTTTATTATTTTAGCTGTAATTCTGAGTATGCTTTTCAAGAACAGAGAATCATTTAAAGTATCTTGAAAGTTGCATTGGGGGAAAAAAAGTAAAAATTAGAATGTGAGTGTTGGATGAGTAAGTTTTGTTCCACTTATAGGTGCCACTGTGCTGTGGGTGGCTGTAGTAGTTTGACCTGTGCATTGACCTATATGCTTTATAAATGCAGGTTTTGAGGCTGTAGGGGGAAACATAAATTGCATGAAAATAAGTTCTTTGGAAATAACATATGGTAGGTTTAGCTAAAATAAGCGATAGTTTGTACAGACTATACTGTCTGTGTGTTCTGTTACGTAGAGAAAACAAAAATCAGTTCTCAGCTGTGCTGAGTATGTCCTCCAATTATTTTTTCCCAATTTAGCTTAATTAAAAATCAAGATGCTTACATGGAGAAGTATCAGTTTAAACATGTAAAAAGCTATTCTGAATCTGGACCCCTGTGCAGCTGGATGACATTTTCATATTCTTGTGTGCTTTTTAGCAGTTGCAATTGGCTGGTTTGTTCTTCCTCTGTTCTAGATGTTGTATCCATTTGTGGCTGAGAGAGGCTTTCTGTTCCCAGTAAACCTGTGTGTGCAGTGACCCTGCAGAATTCTCTATCCGCCCAAGTCTCTGTTGCTTTGAAGTTTCTTTTGAGGCATTCGTGTTTGGATGAAAAAAAGCAAACTGTCGGATACCTTGGTTTTGTACCTTTGAAATTCTGACATTTTTTCTTGTTCTAGTGGATTTTTTGCTTAATTTTTTTTTTTGGGGGGGGAAAGAGAAATGGAACTTGAATATGTGGTTGTGGTTAGGATTTTATATTGCATATGTTCACTGTATAAGCAAGACATACTTAAAAGTATACATGCTTCAAGAAACAAAACACTTCATATTTGTTTCAGAACAAAGCAGGTACTTAAAAACTTAATCTCAAAACCATAATTTTTTAAATCTTTGTTAGATATAGGCAAATGATTATTTTTATTATGGGTAATAATGACAGTAGCAGTGGCAAATATATTAAAAAAACCAAATCTTTCCTGCATTGAAATCAATAGGGCGAAATGGTATGGGACAAAACTTTGTAGGTCTCTGTCCATTTTTTGATGAAAGTGCAGTTATAAAAACATGTTCACCTCATATCTGTTATGGACAGAGATCATCCAACTGATTTAGATCAGTGTTCTAATTATTTTAGTATGAACTTTCTTATTCTCTTGTAAGTCCTTTGAGGCAGATGTTGTATTCTTGTTCTTGAAGTAACAAGATCTTGGTTTGAAGTGAATGACCCATGTTTCCCACTTTGTATTTGTCTTAGAATATTCTGGTCTTGTCAGCTCCTCAAACAGCCTTTCACTGTTCCCTGTCCATCCTTGCTGTCTTTGTCCTCTTTATTACATCTCACTCTTCCATCTGTAAAATGCCAGTGATGATGTTAAGCTCCCTTTGTAAAAAGCTTTGAAAAACATGGATGGAAGTACCAGACAGGTTTTATTACTTTTATCATGATATTCAGCCTATAATTTCGCCTCTCTTAAGCATATTTGTATTCTTGCTAGCTAGCGTTAGACCTATCCTCTAAACCAGTGGTATTTTCTGAAGGTGCCAAAGCATGTGAATGAAAACCAAACAAACACTATAAACACAATCACCCCAACAAGAACCTGAAAACCCAAAGAAACAAAACCAGATGGGATGTCTTTGCCTTCGAGCATGAGCTCTAAATTAATCCAAGAACTTCTGCTCGAGCCTGGGCGTATTGCTTTAATGTGCTCTGCTCCCAGATCTCTCTTTCTTACGGTTTTAGTGCTGCTTTCCTCACTTCATCATAAGCATTTTCTGGGTTTAGCAGGCCATTTACAACTTTGTTACCATCAGGAAGGTCATATGAATATTATCAGTATTATCAGAAACACACATTTTCTCAGGTATGATATGCTGATATTTCTCTTTGAAATGCGTCTTTACTGCCCAGTAACAAAATCTGACAAGTGAATCTAAATGATTTGACCCAAAACCCCAAGTAAGATTTTTTTTTTCCTATAAATGTAGTGAGAGAATGCAGGTGAAGTCAAGCCAAAAAGTTTTTACTGACTCTTACTTTGAATTGCTGTGTTACTTCAAAGAGGCAGAATCAGGAATCAGTTAGACCATACTAACAAAGCTTTTGAGGCAGTTTTTCAAGAATCTCTTCCTAGTTTGTTTTTTTAAATAACCTTCTTAACTGCGGCTATCTTAAGCTCCCATTCTTCTTCCATTTTCATAAGAGTACTTGTTGAAATCCATAAAAATTATGAAAAATCACAACTTCACAGACATATGATAATCCTCTTCACAGTTAATGTTCAAATTAGATGAAATGTGAAGGAAAGCTTATTTTAAAAGGTAATGCCGGTTCATCATGTGCTATTTATACATAACTAAATGTCTTCCATAAAACTTTTATTCAGAGTAAGTACATTCAGCTCATTTTATGAAAGTATTTGTCCTCTCCAAACTTTTTTCTAGTCCACAGAACTTGTTTTCCTGCTTTGTAAGGACAGAGACGTACCATGAATGGTACAAGGCCATGTAATTAAAAGCTGTTTCAATACATACACTCAGGTTGTATCTCGCAGTTGCCATGCAACCGATCTGATGCTTTCAAAATTTTGAATGCTTGAATGTTCAATCTTAATGCTCCTTAGAATTTTTTTCGGAAATGTATTTCTAATCTGATAGGAAGCACTGTATGCATTACTTCAACAGTGTACTCAAAGGAATGAAAAGTATTTTTTAAAATGTGAAATAAAATTAAGTTGATAGGGTAATAAGGAATTTTTATACTGAATTAACATTTTTTTTCTAGTACATCTGTCCCTGTTAAAAAACCTTCTTTAGCTAGTAGCAGCTTATTTACAAACCCTACTTATCTTTCTGCTGCAAATTCACAAGCACTGTAAGTTTGTTGTCTAAGAAGAAGTAAGTCAGTTGTCAGTGAGAGTTATATAAAGCTGATACTGGTTCCCCCAAAATGGGACTGGTCTTTAGAGTGATTTCAGGATACATTTTTTTTTAATAGGGGAAGGTTTCATCTGAAGTCTACAATTTCACAGAGGTCTTTGACTTTTAAGTCCACACTAATTGTATTCTCAGGACTACGTTCCTTCTCAGCATCTTTCTAGGGAGTAATACTTAAAAGGTTTCTAGCCTGAAGTATTGTAAAGCAGCGATCCCTTCTGCTGAAGATTTTTTTTTTACTTTTCACAACAAAGGTGATTAAAGAACAGAAAACCTTCATCCAGGGATTGAAAGAGATCAGTGGCATCGTGTCCCCATGCTTACCTCTGCTAGGAGTAGATTCTAAGATCAAATGTTTCTTTTACCATACTTGCACTTTATTTCAGCACTAGTGCAGAAATTAATGAGGCAGTGGGAAGAAGGAAAAATACAGTTATGATAAGTAACTTTCATACATTTCTGGCAAGCAGTTTGTGTAGGTTCTGGCTCCTGTTTGTTTGGAGCACACTCCAGTGCATGAAGAACTTTCTGAGAACTCGTGTCCCACAGCAATAGGGAAAAAACATTTGATGTGACATACGGTGCCTTTCTGAGTCTTGTGAAATAATGCTGCAAGGTAAAGTGAAAAGCAATCACATGTCAGAAGTAAACTGAATTTTCTGTTTTACGGTAGATTATAGTAGATAAAGTTCTTGCACTATTATCTTCAAGTTCTGCATGGATACTTGCTGCTGAAAAAATTACATTGCTTCAAGCATATAGGGATGCTTCTTTGGTTTTCCCAATTCCGTTCTTGATTTCAAGTGTACAACAAATTGTATAGTATCAACTTTGGTTGCTAAGGATTTCAGGGTATCATTTGCTTCAATATTTTAATTTTTGCATAATTGATTTTATGCCCTTATGAGTACTGGAAACCCTGCAAGGGCTCCTAAAGCAATTAGTTTTTTTTTTTCCTAAGAAGACTGGAGAAGGTTCAATTCCAAACTGGGCCTTGAAACGGTTATCCCGTTCTTTCAGCACCCTTGCTGTGCCAATCTTCGGCAATGCGTTTGTCACAATTGAGGCAACACACTGATTTGTCTTCCTGCATTTTGATGCCTGCATCGGATATGTTCTACCTCTTACTAGTCTTCATGATGCTCTGGCTGGTAATACTAGACAGTTTTTGGAATAAAGGACAGTTCCAAACCCAATATTATACTTTAATATAGCAATATTTCAAACTCTGATTCAGAAACAGTTAATGTTTGTTGGCACGGGCCCCTCTGGATCGATTTTTTTATGCCTTGCGTGGTCAAATTTCAGCTTTATATAGGAGTTTACTAAATGCTTCAGCTTAGTCCATGTGTTTTATTCTCCTTGCTCGTCTGATTGCAGCAGCGATGAAGCCTCTGCCAAGTGTTACACTCCCGTGCAAGGCGATGGTAGCTTCTTGTTGTCAGACTGATGGCGTAAGAGAACCCTGAGCTTCAGTGTAGACGAGTAACTTGAAATAATTCTCATTGAGACACTGAGTCCCTCAGAGCTTATGTTAAATCTTGGTCATGTTATGTTTAAACTCGTCTGTAGCCTTTGACTTTCAAGCTACATCTATTGGGAAAAAGAGTTTAGACAAAATTATTCTGAAACAGTTTGTGCCATTACTTAGATGCCCTGGAAGCCAAAGCAGAAAAAGAAGTTTTGCTGTATTAAAAAGCCAATTTGTATTCCAGAGGAGATAGAATAGAAAGGACAAATTGATACCAATAGACATTAATGACCTTTTAGAACTAAGCAAATGGTGTAAAAAACACACGAGGCAAAATTCTTGTGCACAGAGTTGAATTCTTCCTATTTGCGGCTCAACAGAAATGGTGTTGGTTTTATACAAGATTAAAATGTTAAAACTGATGATTGTTGGTGCAGAAAACATGGAGACATTCATCAAGTAATTG